GGGGGGGGCGGGGGGATGGAGAGGGGGGAGAGAGAGAGTGCCTGTGTGTGTGAGACTGTGTGTGTGAGTGGGAGTGTGTGTATGTGGGAGTGTGTGTGGGATTATGTGTGTGTGGGAGTGTGTGTGGGATTGTGTGTGTATGTGGGATTGAGTGTGTGTGTGTGTGGGATTGAGTGTGTGTGTGTGTGTATGTGTGTGTGTGTGGGATTGAGTGTGTGTGTGTGTGTGTGGGATTCAGTGTGGGTGTGTGTGTGTGGGATTGAGTGTGGGTGTGTGTGTGGGGGTGAGTGTGGGTGTGTGTGAGCATGTGTCTGTGTGTGAGTGAGTGTGCGAGCGTGTCTGTGTCTGTGTGTGAGCATGAGTGTGTGTGTGTGTGTGTCTGTGTCTGTGTGGGGGTGAGTGTGTGTGTGTGTGTGTGAGTGAGAGAGAGAGAGTGTGAGAGAGAGAGTGTGTGTGTGTGTGTGTGAGAGTGAGTGTGTGTGAGTGAGTGAGTGTGTGAGTGAGTGTGTGTGTGACAGTGTGTGTGAGAGTGTGCCCGTGTGTGTGTGTGTGTGCGCCCGTGTGTGTGTGTGCCCGTGTGTGTGAGAGCGTGCCTGTGTGTGTGTGTGTGAAAGTGTGCCTGTGTGTGTGTGTGAGTGTGAGTGTGTGTGTCCGTGTGTGTTTGGAAGGGGTAACGTTGAAGTTGCACAGCAATGTTAGAAGAAGTCCATCCTTCTCCGTGCCTTTTGTTGAAGTGACGTTTTGTGAATGAGAAAACCTGGTGTGAACCGATTGTGTGCTGAATATCAGTCAGTCAGGGTCACTGGTCCCCCCTGGGTGCTCTCAGAAATCCACAGCAGCAGCAGAAAGGAAGACAGCCATAGCTCAGTTTCAGCAAACAGCAGCTCCAGGTCCCCTTGGCACTCACCACTTGGCAGATCAGCCCATACTCGGTCTGATTGATCCCCCCGGTGAATACAGCACACGTCATCGAGATGTGAAACCACAGGTTCAGGAGCATGTGCCAGTTCTTCCTGGAGACCCGGATTGTGCTGGAATACGACAATGGGATTAAATCACACACACACGCGCGGACAGAGTGTTGGAGAGATAGTACTGAACGGCACTGTGCCTCCCCACTCTGTGGTTCAATACCTGATGGGCTCATGTTAAAACAATTCACTCTCAGGTCAGAGGCATCACTGGGAAGGTGGGTCAGCATTGGCCATTTCTCTCTCTCTCGATGGGTTCTGCTGGACCTGTCCAAGCTCCCCATGTTGGTTCACCCAGTCACAATGGAAGGAATGGACCATGTGGTATGTGACTGAGCTGGCAGTTTGAATGTGACAGCATTCCCCCACCTGGAACTTCTGTCCTTCATTCCTTCACGGAATGTGGGAGCTGCCAGCAAAGCCAGGATTGGCCGGCACATCTGAACTGACCCGGAACTAAATGCCTTTCTTGCTCGGCCATTTCTGAGAGCAGTCGAGGGGCAACCCACATCTACCCAAGTGTGGAGTCACTTGTCGGGCAGACTGAGTAAGGAGAGCAGGTTTCCCTACCTAAACCAATCAGTGATGGCTTCGTGCTGACCAAGACCAGGGAAAGGCTCAAGACAGAATCCCTGCAGTGGGGAAAGGGCCCACTGAACCCCTGCTCCAGTGGGATCTGAATCCATGTTCCTGAAGCATTAGCCCGCTCCCCAGGTTGATGAATCCAGTAAAGTGTCCATGGCCTCAGTCTACATAGGAGACTACCAGCCCCAACTAACAATGGCCCTTCCTCTTTCATCTGATCAACAAGGCTGAGCCTCGATCCACTACATCGTCTTCAGTGGGCACCAAGGTGCCAGGGAGGGAGGGAATGGGGCAAACAGGGTAGGTGCCCCTTACCCAGAGCCAAGTGGGTCTTCTCTGAGACTGATAACGCACACCTAGGCTGTGAACATCTCAGTCCTGCATTACCGCGCCTCCTCCTGTACTGAATGGTTCCCAAAACTTCCCAAGGGAATGCGCTTCTGGGAGCAACAGGAAACAGGTGAGTGGCAGTATTCTGAGGGTATTCTGATTGGCCGAGGTGAAGTAGATTGGGAGGAAGTTTGTTTGTAGCTTGACAGCAGCATGGAGCAGATGGACAAAATAGCCAGTTGCTGTTGTTGTACATTGCAAGTAACTAAGTTAGAACCACGAGGCATAGTTGGTAACTTACTTGTGCTTCAGGATGTACGATATGATGGCGATGAACAGGCAGACTAAGAGGACCACAGTGCAGCTGTAGATAATAGGGTGTAGAACCTGGATGGCACCAGGAGCTAGCGCTGGGTGGTTACTGATCTTCTGGAAGCAGAGCACATGAACAAGGAGTTACACAGATCAACACAACACAAGCTCCTCATCTTTCCCAGGGGCACTCTTTTCATCTGGGCTCTTCATGGGAAGGTTGGCATTTCTTACCCAACACTTCACTGCCATGAAGATAATGTCAGATAAGGAGCACCAGGATTCTGACCCAGTGACATCAGCACAGGAGAAGACCCTTCAGCCCCTCAAGGCTATCCCCCCCATTCAATGAGATCACTGCAGATCTCTGTTTGAACTCCATCTACCAGTCTTGCTTCTGAAGCCCTTCATGATTTTCTAAACGGAGGTCTATCACACTCAGTTTTAATATTTACTGCTGACCTCCAGCCTCCACAGCTTTCTGGGATAGAGCTCCAGCTTTCCGGGATAGAGTTCCAGCTTTCCCAGGGTAGAGTTCCAGCTTCCTGGGATAGAGCTCCAGCTTTCCGGGATAGAGTTCCAGCTTTCCCAGGGTAGAGTTCCAGCTTTCTGGGATAGAGCGCCAGCTTTCCGGGATAGAGCGCCAGCTTTCCTGGGATAGAGTTCCAGCTTTCCAGGATAGAGCTCCAGCTTTCCGGGATAGAGATCCAGCTAGAGTTCCAGCTTTCCCCAGGATAGAGTTCCAGCTTTCCGGGATAGAGCTCCAGCTTTCGCAGGGTAGAGTTCCAGCTTTCCCAGGATAGAGTTCCAGCTTTCTGGGATAGAGTTCCAGCTTTCTGGGATA